ATTGGATGATGTCCCTGGACGAGTCCATGGGTCTGTACCAGTAGTAATAGTATTCTATAATAAAGGCAAACAAATTAAACAAATTTAAGTTGAAATTTATTAATTTTCATCCTTACTTGAACGTTCGTAGATACTGAAGGTATTGAGGAATTATAAGATGAATTGTTTGATGATCCACTAGGAGTGTATCTTGATGATCCTGTAAATATTTTCAAAAATACATAACCAAAGTTTTCTCGGTCAAAAAAAAAATAAAATAATGACTTTCATACCAGTGAATGGATCTGCATATTGTGAACCAGTGCCCAATGAAACGCCTTGTGCATTTTTCTCAATGAAATTTGCAATTTGATCCAGATAGCTTTGCGGAAGTTCATTAGCCCAAATAAATTCTTGAGCTGCTTTATACGGATTATCTACAACACACTAATTTTGTTAATAAATACTATCAAACTAAAAAATATTAATTTATGTAATAAATGAATACAAACCGGAAACATTATATGGAAGTTTTAAAGCTGGAACTCCATCTCCAATATCGACATCAAATACATAATCATATTCTCTTCCGTTATATAACTGTTTTCGATCTTTACCAATAGCATCAACAACTTCGCCCACTTTGTGCCATGATTGATCAGCTTGACTCCACTTGTAATAATGGTAGAATTTTAAAATAAGCGGTTATTGTATAAAAATTTAAAATAATAGTTTACATACTTGATGAGCCTCAACAGAATCACGATTTCGCACCATAATCACTTGTCCTTCATTTTTGCCTAGGGTAACAAACATAAAATAAATAAATCTAGTTGAATTTATAAGAAAGCTTTTTTAAAAAATTTAACCTGGCTTAAGCAATGCTTCTAATCCATGAAGATCATCTTTCTTCAAATCTCCAATTTGATTTCTGTAAATTATAAATAAATGTTAGATAACAGATGTAAATGTACCATATTAATATTAAAAAAATTATTTACTTAGGAACTGCATGTTTTGAAACTTGCTCGTCGTAATTCTATTCAAAAAATAAGTAATCTTTAGATAATTAACTTATTTTAGCATCAAATTATTATGTACCTTTAGAATCTCTTGTTCTGCAATGCGTTCTTCGACCCTCGTGAAGATACGAATCACACCATCACTTGCACCACTAATTATATCACCGCTAGGCATAGCAGCTACGCACCATACAGATGTTGCAGGATGCACAATCGATTGTATACATTCTCCATCTTAAATATAATTTATCAATTCAAAATTTAAATTTTATTAATAAATGACAATTTACATGACCTTTAAAATACCTTTCCAGATTCTTACGGACCGGTCTTCTCCACTTGATATGATTTCACCTGTAGGTAATATATCAATGCTGTACACAAAGGACGTATGACCATTTAATTCTTGAATACATTGTCCAGTTAAGGTCCATATGCGAAGAGTGCTTAATGAATTATAAATTGAAAATTTGATTAAAGTACGGACCTCTGTTAATATTAAAAACTTATGGTGGTTCATACAAATAACATACCTATCATTTCCACATGAAACTATACCTATATCTGGTAGTAATGCTAACGCTCTAACACAGTCAGAGTGGCCAGATAAAGTTTGAATTCGTTTGCCATCTTGCCATTTTACAATAGTTTTGTCGGCCGACCCTTAAACACATACATGAATCAGTAAAAATAGTATCATGATAAAGATCATTTTTCTAAACCTACCCGTAAATATTAAGTCATCATCTACAGCTAAAACTGCCCATACAGCATGGGAATGTCCTTTTAAAGTACAAGCTTCTTGCCAATTTTTCCAAATTTTGGCCGTTCTAAGGTAGAGAGAGTAATAAGACGTAATCCCATAGATGAAAATAATAAAATTTTTAGACATACTTATCCCAAGAACCGGAAACAATATGGCCAGATGGTGTGATGTCTAACGCACAAACGTTATCGGAATGGCCGATTAACGAATAAATTGGATCCTGTGCATTATCGAGATCAAAAACATTTATGATCTTATCGCTGCTACCACTAATTATAAGGCCTATATGTATTTCAAAATTATTAAATTAAAATAAATAATTTAGACAATGTTTCTGTGATGGTCAAGAATTCTCTCAACACTTTAATCACCTTTATCATATTCAGTAGTAGGTTTGAAAAACACAAGAGAATTAACGAAACTTGTATGCCCCAAGTACAATTTATTTTCACTAAAAGAGTTAACTCCGGTTCTAAACCAGCTGCGAACTGTTTTGTCGCGAGACGCAGAAATAATCAAGTCTTCGCTTGGACTTCGAACAGCTTTAATCTATTATTAAAGGTAATGCTTTAGAAGATACAAATTTATTAAAAAGTAAACATTATAAGCTATAGCTTACATCTAAATCATGACCGGATAGACTTGAAGAAAGTTTAAAAGGATTTGAATCTGTCATTGGTTAAGTTTTTCCTATCTAACAATCAATCAAGTTCCCATCGAAATAATAAATTTGATTATCGTTTTGTGGACACGTGTTAATAATAAACCCGAGTATAATATATTATATATAATTTAATATATATCAACCGAATATTAAATAATTTTTTAAGTAAAAAAATAAATCTAATAATTACGAATAGAGTGCTGGGAAAAGGGTAATCGACAAAAAAATTTTTTTTGAAATAACAAATGATCTGAATCAGATGACCAAATCTACAATTATTTTACATAGAAACTTTTTTTTTAAAAAAAAATCAATTTGGTCTATTTTCCTAGCACTCACCTCATATATTCTTGTATTAGATTAATGCCAAGAAAGTAAATTAAAAAAAGAATTTACTATATTTTACAATAAAAATATAAAACAATTATCTTTAATAAAGATGGGCACCATAATTAAACTCGGTAAGTTGCAACTCCTTGTAAATTTATTTTAATATAAAAATTCATAAATAGTTGCAACTAGTTAAAAATTTTAAAAATAATTATGGAAACCATCTTTAATCTTTAATAAATTCACCTTTATTTAATTTAATTTGTTATTTTTATAAGGAAAAGCTAAAAATAACTCCATGTTATTATATGTAAAATTATAACTTCCATATTATCGTATATATTTTGATCACTATACAATTATGAAAAATTTCATTCAGAGTGAATTTTTGTTCACCTGATGTGAATTTAAAATCACCAATAAATTAAATCTTGCTTATAATAAACTATTATAATAAACTCTAATAAAAATATTTTTTCCCATGTTCTCTTTCTTACAATAACTATTTTCTTTTCATTTTACTACTTCTCCTTATTTCATAATGGATATTCATCTTTAACTTCTGTGAAATTTAATAACGAACCTTTGAATAACTTTTATTATGAAACATCAATATGAATTATATAAAGAATGAATTATCTGATGTTAAAAATTTTACAAGTAAAGAAAATAATAATTTATCACTTCAAAAAAGACAAATATTTGAAACTTTCAAAGAAGTAGAAAAATATTTGATGCAATATTGTAAGCAAAAAGGTTTTGAATATCATAAAAAAGAGTTAAATATGATGATAATAATGTCATTTGTAAACATACTTATAAATGTACTAAAGCAGCTCAATACTAACCAAATAAAGCTAATGATCCTGAAAAACATCATCAAAGAAATTCTGGATTAATTGGTTGTCTATGGCATGTAAATATAACCTATTCAAAATCAACTGAAATTATCAAAAGTTCTATGATAGTTGATGAACATAACCATCTATTGAATTCAAATATTAAGATTCATAGAGTTTAATTTCATAAGTTTTCAAAAGAAATGAAATCTGATATATTGGAGTATCTTTTCGCAATTCCAACTATAGGAGCTCGAATTATATATTAATTACTAAGTAAAATATTCAGATACAGTCAACTCTTTCTACAGCGAATTTTGATATAACGAATTTTACAATACAACGGATTTTCAGTGTCAGACAGAT